CCTATCATTGAGGAGATATTGGATGAGTTGGCTGGTTCCAAATTCTTCACAAAACTGGATATGAGGTATGGTTACCATCAGGTCAGAATGCTCCTAGAGGATGAGCACAAGACAACATTTAAGACACATCACGACCACTACCAGTTTAAAGTGATGCCGTTTGGACTCACTAATGCACCAGCCACTTTTCAGTGTATCATGAATCAAATACTTTAGCCTTTTCTCAGGAAATTTGTGTTAGTCTTTTCTAGATGATATATTGATATATAGCAACACTTTAGAAGATCATGCTAGTCATCTTGAGCAAGTGTTGGCCACCCTTAGACAGCATCAGTTGTACTTGAAAGCTTCTAAATGTACTTTTGCTCAAGATAGTCTGGAATATTTGGGTCACATAATTTCTTCTAAAGGTGAGGTGAGGCCACTGATAAAAATAAGATAACTGCTATGCTACATTGGCCAGTACCTACAGTCACTGAGCTGAGAGCTTTTCTAGGACTCACTAGATATTATAGGAGGTTTGTTAAACATTATGGACTGCTTACTAAACCTCTTACTCAGTTGCTCAAATATAAGCAGTTTTCCTAGACTGAAACAGCTCAGAAGGCCTTTGATAAGGTCAAAATAGCCATGACCAGAACCCCTGTGTTGGGTCTTCTAGATTTCACTCAGCCATTTACTATTGAAACTGATGCTTGTAATGATGGTATTAGAGCTGTTTTGATGCAGCAGGGACAGCCCATTGCTTATCTTAGTAAGGCTCTTGGGGAGAAGCACAAATCACTTTCCATTTATGAGAAGGAGTTCTTAGCATTGATTATGGCAGTTGAGAAATGAAGACCATACTTACAGAGGCAAGAATTCACAATTCTCACAGACCACAAGTCTTTAAGCTTTCTCAATGAACAAAACCTACATTCTGAACTGCAAAGAAAAGCTATGACTAGGCTCATGGGTCTCCACTTTAAGATTGTGTATAAGAAAGGCAAAAAAATGTGGCTGCAGATGCTTTATCCAGAGTAGCTCACCTCATGATTGTTCAAGTAGTCTCTACTATTCAGCCAGTTTGGATTCAAGAGGTCTTGAATTCCTACACCATAGATCCCAAAGCTCAACTGCTGTTGAAGCAATTAGCTGTATCAAGTCCTGATGCTAATGGTTTCAGTCTCGAGTAGGGTCTCATTAGACACAATGGCAACATTTGGATTGGCCAAAATTCATCTTTACAAACAAAGATCATTGCTGATTTTCATTCAAGTGCTTTGGGAGGCCATTAAGGTATTACACCTACCTACTACAAACTAAGGAAGCATTTTGCTTGGAAGGGTACGAGACAGGATGTCGAGAGTTATATCAAGCAATGTTCAGCCTGTCAACATGCTAAACATCCATTACAACACCTAGCTGCCCTATTGCAACCTTTGCCTGTGCCAAAAGGGGTTTGGAGAGATGTTTCTATGGATTTCATAGAAGGTTTGCCCAAATCTGATAGGTACAGTGTCATTTTAGTAGTTGTGGACAAGCTGACTAAGTATGCCCATTTTATTCCTGTCAAGCATCCTTACACTGCCAGCACTATTGCTCAGGCATTCCTAGATAATGTGGTGAAGTTGCATGGTTTACCAAATTCTATTGTCAGTGACAGAGACACAGTGTTTGTCAGTCACTTCCGGACACACTTGTTTAAGCAGTTCAAAGTTAATTTAACTTTGAGCACAGCCTATCATCCTCAAATGGATGGACAACCCGAGAGAGTAAATCAATGTTTGGAAATGTTTCTCAGATGTTCAGTGCAAGACTCTCCCAAGGCCTGGAAATCTTGGCTTTCCCTAGCTGAATTGTGGTATAACTCCTCCTATCACAGTTCACTAGGTTGCTCCCCTTTCAAGGCTCTTTATGGGTATGAACCCAATGTGGGTGCAGTACCTCAACTATCAGAAAATACTTGCCCATCAATAGCTGAGGTTATTAAGAACAGGGAACTTCATTTGCAATCCATCAAGCAAAATCTGGCAAGAGCTCAGAATAGGATGAAATTGCTGGCTGACAGAAAACGCACTGACTGTCATTTCACTGTGGGTGATCAGGTATTGTTGAAATTACAACCTTACACTCAATCTACAGTGCCAACCACCCCTTTCCCAAGCTAGCATACAAGTATTTCGGTCCTTATACAGTCCTGAAACGAGTTGGTTCAGTTGCCTACAAACTGGAACTACCTGAAGGCAGTATGATTCATCCTGTATTCCACATATCCCAGCTCAAGCCGTTTGTGCCAGACTGCACTCCTGTGTTTGATACACTACCCGTCACTACCGACTTGGAAGCTGCAGCAGCCGTCCCAGACATGATCATGGACAGGCGTCTGGTCAAGAAAGGAAATACAGCAATCCCTCAAGTCAAGGTTCTCTGGACCGGTCTACCACCATCCACCGCAACATGGGAGGATTATCATGTTCTGCGGCAACGTTTTCCGGATGCTCCAGCTTGGGGACAAGCTTCATCTTCGGCGGGGGGAAGTGTCACAGGTGACCCAGCGGGACACTGAGCAGAGGAACATCGGTGGAGGCGTCTTCTTAATAGCTTGGCGTATTTTCATTATGTGCTTTGTTAAATCAGTGTCTGTAATGTGGGCCCAGGGTCAGTGTCTCTCCGGCATACTTATGCCTGGACTCTGTAAGCGAACGGTATCGAAGAACAAAAGTGAAACACGAACACGCTAAGGCAGGGGCTTCCCTCGCCGGCGTTTTCTCCCTGATCTATGCCTCTCGTAGTGCTCACGTCGACGGCTTGACGCCAGCGGCCACGGGTGTTACAATATTGGGAACAATTCTGGAATCTGAGTTGAAATATGGCCTCTTTCGTGGTGACGAGCCTAGTGGCAAAGAGGTACTTATGCATATTCATGGTGACGAGCCTATTGGGAAAGAGGTACTTATGCATCTTGGAGATTGGGTTGTGTGATAACTAACTAAAGGATCCATTGGTAAGCAACATTCCTCTGTTATTAGTTGCCTGCAGTTTACCAGTACCCAGACTCTTGCAATGTCCATGGTGACAAGCCTGCTGGGTAGTTCTCAGTTTACTATGAGAACTGGCATGCTTCTCACCGTTTATGCGCTGTTTGAGCTATATACTGTCAACCTATCTCATATGCTTGCTTTGTTCCCTAATTTCATATCAGCAACACAAATCTTTGGTCGCTGAATGCAGTGTTTCTTCGATCCCAGTAAATAGGCATAATTTGTTAAAGGAATTTACAATGCGTGGTAGTTTTTACATGTATGGGAATATAGTTTATGGAACTCACGATGCAAGGTCGACATTGGCGCTGGGAGCAACAGTGACGGGTAGAGGCGTGGGCACACGGCAGCGACGGTGCTGCTGGAGGAAATGGACCACAAACCTCAAGTGGGCTATGGTGAGAGGCTGGAGCATGATGGATTGCAGTCCCCTTGGAGGAGAGACACCATGGACCGATTCACAAGGTGAAATAGAAAAGTAGTAATAAGTAAATCTCTAGAATTTATTGGTTCTTGCATTTCATTCTTGTTTTCTAATGGACAAAATTGATTTATTCTAGGAAGGTAGTTGCATTATCTTAAAATACAAACAAAATAAGCCACCGTCGTCACTATATACTCTCTCTCATGCTTCCCAGGCTACATATCCGGATGCAGCCACCACACGGAATGCATGTGTCGTTACCAGGACTCAGGTACATTTCTTACCCATTCACATTACATTTATGTTACAATTCACAGAGAAAACAAAACTAACACAGTCAAATCCACAAACAGATTCATCCAGGAGCAACACCGGAGCCTCCGTGGACAGAGACCTTTCAGACCAAGATCCAAAATACTGAGATGATCATCACTGTCCATCCAATCAACACGTATAATTACTCTACCGAACGCTTTGTACATAAAGCAAGGTACTATTGCTGCCTATGATGTGGCGTAGTGTAGAAAACCATCAGGTATCAGCCGTTGCTATACCGCCTACTAGCTATCACGCTATGTACAATTAGGATGTTGCTGCAGCTACAAAACTCATCTATGTAAGATAATGCAACTGTTCCGTTCGCTTATTGCACAGGTGGTTCTAACATTACGGGGCCCTGTTCGCTTATCTTGTAATCCGTTTTTTTCAGCTTATTTTTTCAGCTAGAACAGTGTTTTTCTCTCACAACAAATCAGCCGGAACAGTGTTTCGACTTATTTTTTCAACGAAGCGAACGGGGCCGTAATGTTAGAACCACCTGTGCAATATGTTAGAACCATACTATCATGCTAAAAATTTATACCTGCACGTGCGCGCCAGCCCTTCACTAGTTAGAAATTAGGTTCCGCTCGATTTTGAGGTGTAACAGTTCCATGGAATGATTTAGGCATCCCGCTGCTCAACCAAACAAAACTAACAATCAAAGCTTCCCTTCCCACTATCGCTGGTATTTATTCCCTTTGCGTTGCCATTGCCATTTGTGGAACCAAACATCACCTTATGTGGAAAAGTCTCGGCCTCTCGGGTGTTGTCAAATTTCTGCTACTCGAGTGTGAATGAATAAAGAGACTCAGCAAGTTTTTATCCAAAAAAAAAAAAAAAAAATCTGCTACTCTTCTTCAGTTCAGGACTTTAACCTCGAGAGTGCATGTATTTTTGCATTTCGAACGGACAATGGTAAAATTCGTGAAATGCATTCATTCATTGTATGACTATAACGCACGATTACAAGCATGATTGTTAATGGCCATGTCCATATAAAGCTGTCACTTTCTCACACTCGCGCGGTGCACATGAAGCCTCTTTCTGGATGATGACTATGTCGGCAAATGCTCGCAGATAATAAGATGCATCAAGAAAAAAAAATCCGCAAAAAATTGGGATAACTCGTGGTAACAAGGATGAAAGCATGACTGGCCATGATCTAGTTCTTTTATTTCTACTGGGCAGTACACATAATTTACGCTTTACTGAGATTCCGAAGTCTGTATTTCTTATGGAGACCTGAATGCCTCCCCGGCATAGCGCACGTTGCCAAGCTCCTCTTCAATACGCAGAAGCTGTACAGAAACATAACATAACTAGGATGATTTGCAAAGGAATAAAGGCAAATAAAAGGTCCACAGAAAAATGTCACAAATGGTGAAATCTGGACTTCTGGAGGGTGTTCTTACCTGATTGTATTTGGCCAGCCTCTCGCTGCGGCATGGAGCCCCGGTTTTAATCTGAAACATATAATGAGTTTCGTCATGATCATCTGAGGAAGACAGGTGGGAATACAATGTCTCAGCTACTCAGCTAGAGTTTCTGGCAGTCCTTTACCTGCCCACTTGCTAAGCCAACAGCCAAATCTGCGATGAAGTTATCTTCGGTTTCACCACTTCTGTGGCTGACCATCACACCCCAACCAGCAGCTTTTGAATCGAGAGCAGCTTGAATTGATTCAGTGACAGTACCAATCTGGTTGACCTGGAAAAGGCACACCAATTTTAACGAAGACATATATTTTACAGTGCAAGGTTATCTCAAGTTAGATACTGTTTGGCAAAGCCATGATAGTTCAGCACTGGAAGGAAGCAAAAACGGAAAAAAAAAGTATATAGTGCTTTACATCACATCCCTTTAGCCTAGCTGCTATTTTCAATCAAAAGAAATTATACTGAGCAACTATATGTCAATATCAGAGTTCAGAGCAAGGCTGCCACATCCTACACCAGACTATGTTAAACAAAACTACAAAAGTGCAAATATCCATGTCTTTGTTAGTTTGTTATCACGGTAGAAGCAAATGTCAAAAGATACTCCCTCCACTCCTCCAGTCATCAAAAGATGATGTTTGCACTAATTATCCTGTTCTAGCATCATATATCGATAACCAGAAAAAATAGTAAATGAGTAAATGGTTACCTTTAGCAACAGAGCATTGCAAGCCTTCTTGCCAATAGCCTCTGATATACGTTTTGGGTTTGTGACAAGTAAATCATCACCCACAATTTGGATATCGACTGAGGATTGCAATGATGCCCATGAACTCCAGTCATCCTGATCAAAAGGGTCCTCAATTGATACAATAGGGAAATCCTTGACAAAATCTCTGTACAGATCACCCAGATGCTGGGCTGAAAGAACATGGGCTCCATCATTAGGTTGATTCTTAAAGTTTAGATCATAGCTCCCATCCTTTGTAAGGAACTCTGATGCCGCAACATCCATTCCAATTTTGATCTACATTAGGATTTATTTTTAACATTAAAAATAAAAAACAAGAGAGCAATCAAACAAGTGGCCAATGAAACTATTTAGATGGTGTCACACCTTTCCAGTGTAGCCTGCCTTTTCAATGGCATCCATAAGCAAGATAAGACCCTCTCTGTTGTCTTGAACATTAGGAGCAAAACCTCCTTCATCTCCAACATTGCATGCATCTTGACCATATTTTGACTTAATGATGCCCTTCAGGACGTGGTAAACTGTTACCAGAACAACGATATTCCAAGTGAGGATAGAAGATGAATTGACCAGCTAGTAGAAACAAATATTCCCAATATAGTCGTTTACTTGTACAATGAATATGACTTTAAACAAACATGAAATACACTGGGAAATTAAAAGGTATGGAATGAATAAAAGAGCAGAAAAAATTCCTCATAAAAGAATAAAAGAGCAAAATAGTCCGCTAGCACATTATAAAATTACTAAAGTATACTGCTCCCACTGTTCCAAAATGTAGGTATTTTTTTTGCCTATAAGTCAAATTTCTTTAACTTTGACCGAGCTTATAGAAAAAAGCACCAGCATATACAACAACAAACTAGTTTTCATTAAATCTACCATGAAATATGCCTTCATAGTGCATTTATTTGGTATTGTAGATGTTAACATAATTTTACATAAACTTGGTTAAAGTTAGAAGTTTCAGTTAGGACAAAACTAAAAGGACCTACATTTTGGGACAGGAGTACCATCTTATAGAAAAACACCAAAACATTATTACCTTCGCTGCCCATACGAAAAGCTTCAGCAAAAGTAGCTGCTCCAACAGGTAAAAGCATGAATTCCTGCATGGCCAGATTGTTGCCAGCATGGCTACCTCCATTTATTACATTGAAAGCAGGGACAGGCATGACAAGCTCCTTAATTCCCGCTAGCTCCTGAATATGTTTATACAGAGGAACTCCCTTTGCACCAGCGCCTGCCCTACATACACTCAAGGAGACTCCAAGAATAGCATTGGCACCCAACTTCGATTTATTCTCAGTTCCATCGATGTCTAGCATGATTGCATCAACATCGCTCTGGTTCCTGATAAAATAGTGGGTGCAGTTTGCATTAGACATGACATAGAAGATATGGTAATGAATAATGCTGCAGCACCTTCCAACATGTAAGCATATATCTGGATACAAAATGCCAGTGGAAATATCAGACTATATTATGAGTTGGCATTTTTCTTTTTTACATTTCTTCTGATGGCAATGAGGTGTGGTGGCAGTGTTGCATTGCTTTCTTCCCTGTCCTTCAGTAAAATTGGCAATTTTATATTATTATAAAAACCGAGGAACGGAGTCCGCCATAATGGTGATTTTCCATATAAAAAACTGTTGAATAACTATAACATAAGTTACACACATCAAATATATGTCCTTTTAGCTAATTTGTGCAATTTTATTATCATAAAAACATGAGGAATGAAGTCCACCAGAATTGGTGGTCTTCAATATCCAAGAGCCTTTTGTAACTGTAGCATAAGTTCAACATATCAATTGGATGTAGTAACTTTGGTAATCTAAATCCAATTAGCTATTAGAAAAGAAATATTATATTGGCACCCCAGAAATCATGCTCATGAATCATATCATAGCATAAAAAGCACAGAAGTTTCTAAACAGGTCGTCTTTGGACTTACCATACTATCCTCTTAGGTGTTGTGTGTGCTCAACTGTTCTCACACAAGATGATCAAGTTTCAAAGCTGCCCAAAGGTGCATACGTGGCATCTAAGTTTATATATTAAACAAATACAGTAGTATTAATTGTTCAGATTGTAAAAAGCTTGGGAGTTTAGCTGAAGCCCCATGATACTAGATCCGCCACTGCAAACACATAGTGGTTGCTCAAGCTAGAATTGGCTAGCCCCGTTCCAAATATTAGTTGGAGAATTACTGTGGAGTTGAGAAGAACATAATCACACAAAACAGTAACTGTACTAGAAAAGCACACAGAAGTTTGCATGAATAATGGATTGTTCGATTGTGGACTTGCCATTATGAGCTTGCACGAGAAATGTTCCATGCAGCACCAGAAATACAGTTCAGTATTTCACACCAGAAATGGTAGCTTTATTCACTAAAATCTTTAATAACCGTAACTATACCAATACAAATTAATACAGTTCAGTAAGTTTCATATGCTAAGCGAAGGACCACCAAACGACTAATATGCTAACCTATTAGCGAACAGGACATGGAGGATCAGTAATAACAGTCATATGCTTTAAAAAGATATATATATCTTTCTAGTAGGAACAGTGAGGCCAATAATAATCAGGAATTGTCTTTGCCACCAGAAAACAACTGCGGTGTTCACTAAACTAAAGAGACTGAAATGGGTACTAACTACTACACAGTACTTTGTTAGTTATGAACGCTTCCCACCCTACACAGTGAGCAAACCCTTAATAATCCAAATACTGGAAAAGCTTCTGCACATCACACAAAACATACCTTGACATCAAGTTATTTAGGACATTACAGTTCTCCTTGTTGCTTTCTGTAAAAAATGTTGTTCGGGAATGCATATTACAAGTACAAAAGCACCTAACTCCTATATAATAACCAAACTACACGCAAGTTTGCTCCATTACCTACAAAGCCAATAAGTTCCCTGCATATGTGAATAAACTAAGTATGACATCAATATGCACTTCGACCAATTTAGCCACGTTTTACTTCTAATTTTTAGGATGAATGGTCACTAGAAGATCCAAAGCATCATTGTCAGATAGGAGTCAAACTAGTCAGCTCACTAAACTCCATAAACTGAGGCAGTTCAACCATGGATCACAGACAAATGACACACCACGCTTCCTAACTACCCACTTCGCAGCAGTCACACTGGTGATCAAACAGACAGATCCACCAATCAATCCGAGATAGTGATCTCCAGCTCACCTCACATCGACGCCCACGAGCTTGGGCGCGATAACCTCGTTGATGTTGCGCACGGCTTGGAGCACGCCCTTCCCACCGTACACGGCCTTGTCACCGTCGCGGAGCTCGAGCGCCTCGTAGATCCCCGTGGACGCCCCGCTGGGCACCGCGGAGCGGTGGAGGTGTCCGTCCCCGGCGACGAGGTCGACCTCGACGGTGGGGTTCCCGCGGCTGTCGACGATCTGCCGCGCGCGGATCGACCGCACCGCCTCCGCTCCCGCCGCAGCCTTGGCGGGCGGCGAAGCGGTGGAGAGCGCCGCGCGGACGGCGACGGCGCGGCGAGATGGAGTGGCGGCGGCGGCGGCGGCGGGGAGGAGGGGCTTCGGGGAGGGGAGCACGAGGCGCGGGTGGGCCATGTGTTCGGAGGCGGAGCGTGGAGAGTCTCGGAGGAGGACGAGGCGAGGGTTTACTTATATGGCGGCGGTGACGACGGCGGCGGCGGCGAGGTAGAGGTAGAGGTCGTCGCGCCTGTTTGCTGGGCGGAGGCGGCGAGGTGGCAAGGGGTTTCGGCGAATAAAAATTTTGAAGAAGGCGGGGGTTGGTGGAGGTGACGGCGGACCGGAGGTGGCAGATGGGGCCCGCGTGTCTGAGAGTCTGCTGCTTTTGCTGGTCGTTTATGGTTTGGACGCCGTTGGCCTTTGAGGCGGCGGCCGTGTCCCGGGTGGGTTGGTCCGCATTCTGGTGGTTGGCCGGTGGACTGTGCACTTTAAAATTGGATTATTCGGATATACCCTCCGTTCTAAATTAGAGTTTGTTTGATTTTTTATCTTAAGTTTGATCATTCATCTTATTAAGATAAATTTATGCACATATAGTTAAATTTAAGTTATTCTTGAAGAACTTTTTGTTAATAAAGCAAACCACAACAAAAGAAATGATATTTAGCATACATTTTTTTAATAAGACGAGTGGTCAAACTTGGAGTTCAAAAAATCAAATGAACTATAATTTAGAATGAATTTAGTAAATAATATATATCCGGGGCATGGAACTATGGATCCACATAGACATATGTGTGAAATAGCAAATGCAAAAAGAAAAGGATGTTAAAACATACAAATAATCACTTCCGAAATGCTAAATGTAACATGGCTTACCTGAAGCATGTCGGAGGAGCTAGCAACTGAGGACCTTGCTTGCTTTGGAATTTGCACAATCAAGTGATTTTAGTGCTGCTAAGGTATGAACTTAAAATGACTCATTATGCCATGTAGGCATCTTTGGATGGTTTACCGATCCTCGCCCGACTTTACCCATCGAAATTATAGTGGAATACATACATGGTTGGCAATCAAGGTTTCCTCGGGCCTTGTGGTGGCAAAGAAAGTGTTTTGCTAGGTGGTGCAACGAGTCAAGGCTGATGCAGCTTGGCAAGGCAGGCTTGCTCACAAAGTTGAGACGAGGCAAGGCAAATCTAACTTTAGAATCAAACAATCCCATAAAAACTCATATATATTAATCTATCTGCAGTAGGAGCCCCTGGTTCCCGCCGACTCCTCAAAAAAAAACTCATATATAAATAAATTCAGGACACTACACTTAGAAGGATGTAGATAATGGCCCCGTTGGTTTTACTAAAAAGCCATGTTTAAGGGTGATGTTCGCTGATTTGTTGTGAGAGAAAAATAATGTTCATTCACTGAAATAGTACGGCTTGTAAGACAAGCGAATATGACCAATATCAAGAACACAACAATAAAAATATATGGGACCTCTTGCACGACTATTAGGTTGTACTTATCAATTAGCCTTCATTAGTTTTTGTTAGATCATGATTATTTAATATTTAGGCCTTTTATTTGGCATTCAAAAACATGGACTAAACTTCCATCAAACAGCTCCTAACACTGTAGTATATATAAAGTGGTCCACGTGGGCTAAAAAATGTTAAGACTATTATTCACACGATATAAACAATCACTACTTGTGGGTCTCACAACACCTTTTTTCTTTCACCATGTGTCACTTTTATTCTCTTCTTTTCTTATAAGAATCACATTCTCTCCCTATGAGCGAGGCTAATAATGTCTCGCAACTGGCTATATGTATATTTACAATCTATCTTTCAACACACTCATATATTGGTTCATCTATGACATACTTGTTTCTCATAAAGTTTTTTTCTTGTGTATAAACTTACTGTACATGAAGTCCCAACGAAATACGTCAGGCTCATTAAGGACATGTACAATAATGTTGTGACTAGTGTTCGAACAAGTGATGGAGACATGAATGACTTTTCGATTAGGATAGGACTACATCAAGGGTCAGCTTTGAGCCCTTATCTGTTTGCCTTAGTGATGGATGAGGTCACAAGGGACATACAAAGAGATATCCCTTGGTGTATGCTTTTTCGCGGACGATGTAGTGCTAGTTGATGAAAGCCGGATAGGAGTGAATCAGAAACTGAAGTTATGGTGGGAGACTTTGGAGTCCAAAGGTTTTAGACTCAGTGGAACTAAAACTGAGTATATGAGATGTGACTTCGTCACTACTACTCGGGAGGAGGAAGATATTAGTTTGGAAGGTTAAGTAGTGCCTAGGAAGGATACCTTTCGATATTTAGGATCAATGTTACAGAGAGACGGGGATATTGATGAAGATGTTAGCCATAGAATCAAAGCAGAGTGGATGAAGTGGCGCGAAGCATCTGGTGTCCTATGTGACAAAAGGGTACCACAGAAGCTAAAAGGTAAGTTTTATAGGACGACGATTAGACCTGCTATGTTGTATGGTGTAGAATGTTGCCTACGAAAAGACGACATGTTCAACAGATAAGTGTCACGGAAATGCGTATGTTGCGTTGGATTTGCGGTTGAAAGCATCTAGGCCTCTAGTTGGGTTTCGGTGATTAATGACAATACGAGATTACTGTGACTAACGTGTGTTTTGCAGATGCAATTAAGTTAGGTCATGGTAATAGCAATTGATTGGGCAATCATGGTTGTCATGCCCCTACGACGATGGAAATTATTTCGGTTTTCAAAGGATGGACGACAAGGTTAAGGATGGACTAGTTCTAAGTATCGTTTCATGTTGAAGAGACACTTAGAGTAGTTTAGGACTTTGTTTTTTCTTTGGCCGTACTATTAAGGGGGTATGGACGGGTAGCTTGACCTAAGTGAGTCTGGTGGGTTAGGTGTGGTGCACACTTGTCAAAACTAGCACTAGGTAGCTCTGATTGCGAGTTGGAAGTGAATGGAGGGTCAAATGTTGACCGGACGCTGGTTCCGGTGTGACCGGACGCTGGCGCAGAGTCCGGTCAGTTCATTTGATCAAGGTGAAGTCGTCTGGATACGACCAGACACTGAGTGAAATGTGACCGGACTCTGGGTGCCAGAGTCCGGTCAACTCCAGTAAGGTCCCAGAGAGGGAGAATCCTGATCGGACGCGTCCGGTCAGTGCTGACCGGACGCTGGTCAGGTTCCGGCTACTGACCGGACGCTGAGCAGCAAAGTGACCGGACGCTGGGTTCCAGAGTCCGGTCAACATCAGTAAGGTTCCAGAGGGTAGTTTTCGTGACCGGACGCGTCCGGTCAGTGCTGACCGGACGCTAGTTAATGTCCGGTCACAACTTAAACTGTTCAGTGGCGGGTGAACTAACCGGAGTGTCCGGTCACCATGACCGGAGCGTCCGGTCACCCTACAATGACACATAACGGTTCATTTTGAATGAGGGGTTATAAATACTTCCTCTATTCACTTAAGGGGTTACTTTTGTTCATTCCAACAGCTGAGAAACACCCTTGAGAGTGCCAAGAAGAGCAAGGTCCTAGTGAGGTGATTGAGATTTGAGAATCCAAGAGAGAGACCTCATTAGTGAAAGCAAGAGTAGCAAAATGTGCATCCACCTTTCTCATTAGGCTTGTCGTGGTCAAGTTACTCTTGATGATCACCATCACCTAGACGGCTTGGTGGTGATTGAGAGCTTGGTGATCATCCGGCGGAGCTTGTGGATGACCCAACTCAAGTTGTGAGCGGTTGTGGGTGATTCACCGCGACGGAGTGTCGAAGAATCAACACGTAGAGAGCACTTGATCCTTGTGTGGATCAAGGGGGAGCTACACCCTTGCGCGGGTGCTCCAACGAGGACTAGTGGGGAGTGGCGACTCTCCGATACCTCGGCAAAACATCGTTGTGTTCCTCATTCTTTCTTTACTTTAAGCATTTACTTTGAGCAATTTAATTCTTATCTTTACATTCATAGAATTACCATGTTAGAGTAGGATTGGAACATATGTTGCTAAACTTTTGTGCGGTAGAACAATAGAAACACTTTCTAGGCAAAGGGGTGAAGTGGGCTAACCATAGGGTTTAATTATTGCAAAGAATTTTAGAATTAGCCCAATTCATCCCTCTCTTGGGCATTTTGATCCTTTCAGCGGTCATACAAGAAGGATCGAGTTCGGAACGATGATATACGTGATAGATTAGGGATAGCACCAATTGAAGAAAAGCTTGTCCAACACGGTTGAGATGATTTGGACATGTCCAACGAAGACCTCCAGAGGCACCGATGCGTAATGGAATCCTAAGCCAGAATAGTAACATGAAGAGAGGCAGAGGAAGACCGAAGTTGACTTGGGCAGAGACAATAAAAATAGACTTGAAATGATGGAATATATCCAAAGACTTAGCCTTAGATAGGAGTGCTTGGAAAACAGCTATTCACATGTCTGAACCTTAATTGCTTCTGCTGGATTTCAACTCTAACCTACCTCAACTTATTTGGGACTTAAAGTCTTTGTTGTTGTTGTTGTGTATAAACTTACTGTAAACTTACTTCAGGAGAAGCCCTGAGAGGCTTGTCTTTTTGTCATGGTTCCCAACTCCACAGCTCGAGCCTCAAGGATCTTCCTTTATCTGATATCCAAAGTATCAGTCCACCACAACCACAGGGTAAATTTTTCCTAGCATTGCTGAGTACAACCTAATGGAAAGGTACGATTCTGCATATAGCTTGGCCTCCATTGCTGAGTACACCCTAGAATTAACCATCGCTGAGGACAGGCTCCATTAGTTTTTGTTAGATTCTGCCAGAAAACCGCACAACTGACATAAGCTCGTATGACTCCTAAATTAGATCAAATATTATAGGGCACAGTAGATATCATTTGGACAAAACAGACAACAGCCGCCATGAGTTATCAGCAATCAAGAAGCAACAGACTGCAGTAACACAAGGATTATGCACCGGTATCATCTAGCAGCAAACCTGATCAAATATTATAGGGCACTTTAAATGGAATAGATGTCGCACATCTTATAACAGTCAAACAAATAGTTGCCGAAAGATGACAAAAACTAACTAGGAACCTGCGTTGATGTCTGGACTCTGGAGAGCCCAAACTATGGATTCATCATTCATATGATGGGCTGGTGTCTACATAGTTGACAGGACTCATGCAACAGAGATGATCCTCAGAAGATACACATAATGCTGAAATTTGTCACACCATCACCAAATCTTTACTCAACAATCTCTGGGCTACACCCAAGTTATGCGGAGTCAGCAGGCTTTGGCTCATCAGGCTTCTTGGCCGGCGTCTCAGTGCCCATCTCAGCTTTGAGATCATTGATGCTCTGCTCAAGCTCGTCGATCTTAGTTCCCATTTCATCTAGTGCAATGTAGTTAAAGAAAACAGAAGATTGTGGCACACAAGTGTATATATATAGCTAATGCCAAAATAGATTTTCAATAACTTCAGCCATTCCTATGTAAGTTTCACAAATAAGTACTTTAAATTATTAACAAGTAAAATGGTGTGATTGGATCATACTGTGATAGTGCGACGAAAAAACAATCGTGGAATCTCAGTGCACTAGTGGACTCAAGCTTATACTACATGAATATATTAGCGATACCTTAATAAAAAGCTTCAATTTAACCATATTTGAGTTTCTCTTGAACATACTGAGTGTAACTGAACAATGGTCATCGTGCAGTTTAATAAATCATGATGATACAATTATAACAGCAAAAGTGGTATTTTCCTTCAATTCTAATGGAAAGGTTTGCATAAAAAAAATCACACAATGTTACTTTTGTAAGAAATATTCTTTTGCATGTCTCAGATTTCTGCTTTATTCTTTTATAGGCTGGAAAAAATATACTAAGAAAAACTTAACCAAAATATGATCATCATTTTTGTTATTTTGTATCGAGCATGTGCATGCTCCAAGAAAACAATAACTATGGGGCTATATAAATTTAATATAAAACAGAAGAGCAGAAAGAAAAAAGAAACACTAACAAAATAGTTGTCAAGGTCAGGAGACAGATTTTCTCAAAATCTAACAAGAATATTGTATGGATAATGGTGTATTTTGTGTGTATGTATAGCTGGTTTGTTTAAGTTTCACTCATAGAACGTTATAAGCTAGCACAAACACACCCAAAAAAAAATATCGTCCATGGGCAATGATTTGTTACATATATCAGCATCCAAAATGCAAATTGGCATTACAGAAGCATGGCATCAGATATTACTATATTAGAAAACATCAAAACAATAATGGCTAAACTGGTAGAAACTATAGTCTCAGAGCTCTACTTATCACATTTTCTTTGAAAAGACAAACAGAATAAAGATATAATAAAATAAAAGCAGATAAGGATATTCTTTGACACAATGTTCTGCGACATGGACTCGAACCTCGTTTGCTGCAATAGTCAGCGTTCAAGTGAGTGGGAGATGGTGGCAAATTATTTGAAGGAGATGCTAATGAAACCATATCTTCCAAAGGCACTCACCATCTGTCCAAGGAGGTTCTGGACCTGAAATGGAAAGCTAACAATCAGCAATTATATAGACTCCTCCAAAAGAAAAACACTTTTTGGCAGTACACAACCAAAAAATAAAGTTGAATGTTAATATCTTAACCCTATTTTCTGGCTTTATTAATAATTCAATTTTGTACTTCATTTTCTCATCTAAATGGTCCAAACTACACTGCCACATGATATTAGAAGCAGTGTTTACATATAAATAATGCATGCTAACAGATCTTATGATTCGTAACCGCATAAAGAATCATAACTTACAAATGCAGTCATATCTGTTGGGTTCTGTGATGACGGCTCTGAATCCATGTTAGCCTACAATACCAGGTTCAGAAAATGAGTGAACAAACAGCAGTATACCACAGCAGACTTGCATACAAATCAAAATAAACTCAATGCATCAGGATAGCTCATTGTTTTTCAGTTTCCATACCAAGAAATATAAAAGGACTGGAAATAATGAAATTCAAGTCTGGTCATAATTTGTAAGACAACTGTAAAGTTACAAAGTGAACACTATATAAAACTTGTTACAGGGAATAATGATGGAAACATTCAACATTCCTAACAGGCAAGTCTATAGCAAATGCCAAAACATTGCGAAGGGGAAAAAATGTAATTATACACTAGAAAAATACCCAGTAAGAAAGTTACGAGTGCCATTCATCAATGGGATCACAGAGATTCTTATACACATTAAACCTCCCCCTACGAGGTGTATCCTATTTTCCATTTCTCCCTCCACTGGCTCTCAGCAAGATCAAGGCCAGAGAATTCATGATCACATTTCAGATTTCTAGTTTCCTCTGCCCTCTTACTGCTCATGATACTTGCCAAATCTTGTATTGTGCAGGACGTGCTCCGGCGCATCCTATCGGTGAGCATCTCAAGATCATCTCGCAAGCCAAGCCTGAGCAACCTATCCCTCAGCACCTGACAAGTAGCCTGATAAGGAGGGATACCTTCATCTACCATCCTCAAAAAGTAACTGCTGGCCTCCTCTGCTCTACCCTTCTCTGCTCCTGGGTGGAAACCACGTTTTTCCATCCCATCCCAAACCTCAATTGCCCTATCAACCCTTCCTATAGCAATCAACATTTTCAGAATCATGTTGTAAGAGTGCCGATTAGGCAAACACAAACCTTCATCCATCCTTGAAATAAGCCGTAACGCTTTGTTCACCTCTTTCAGCTTACAATGTGTATTAAGCAGAGTGTTGTAGCTCCAAACATCAGGCTTCTCCCCATGGGTTGCCATCAGGATACTATAAGCCTCGTCAACCTCTCCCAACTCGCACAGTAACCGAGTGACAGCATTATAGGTGAATACATTTGGTGTAAGGCTGCGTGCACGCATCCTATCTAGCACGCGAAGAGCAGCACGAGCATCCTTTGACGCACATGCTGAATGAAGGAATGGGCCATAAGTAGCAGCATCAGGGGCAAGCCCACGGCTGCGTTGCATATCTTTTAGCTGCTCCTGTGCAAGCGCAACATCCCCTCCTCGACACAAGGCGTCAATCAACGCGTTATAGGTAGGCACATCAGGCTGGACCCCTCTCTCAATCATTTCGTCAAACAGTTTCTGAGCCTTCTCTGGCTTCGCAACAACAGCCCACCCAGAGATCAGGATGGTATAGGTTTTGGCCGAGACATCAAACTGAAGTGGCGACTCCCTAAAGAATGCCTCGGCGTGCTCTGCCAGGCCATTATGCGATAACGTGAAGAGCAGGGAGTGCAGATCAGCGACCGTCGGCAGGAACCCGAACCCCTCCATGGAGGAGAAAGCTCGGATGGCGTCGTCGGGGAGGCCGGCGCGGGCGTACGCGCGGAACAGCAGCGGGAACAGGTCCCGCGAGAGCGCGGGTCGCGGGAGATCGGAGAGCAGGGAGCGCAGAAGCGAGAAGAGCCGCGCCCCCGCGAGCGAGCCGGCGAGGATGAGGAGCGACTCCGGAAGATGGGTGAACCCCGGCAGCGCGGCGGCGAAGAGGAAGAACCGGAGAGAGGGCACGGGAAGGTTGCGGCAGCGGCGCAGGACGGCGGCCGCCGCCGCGGGCGTGAGGCGTGGCCCGAATCCGTCGAGCGCGGCGCGGAGGTCGTGCCGCGGCCCGCGGAAGTCGCTGAGCACACGGCAGAGCGCGCCGACGAGCCGCGGGTCGGGGTCGGGGTCCGGGGCCGTGTGGGGCCGCGGATCCGGCTGTCCGGCGGGCGAGGCGGAGCAGAGGCTGCGCAGGAGGGGGAGAGAACGCGGGCTTCGCGGCGCGGCCGCTGCGAGGAGCCTGCCGGCAGATTGCATCTCGCGCGATGTGTGGCGCATGGGGCTGTGCAGTGGGAGCAGATTCGCGGGTGACGCGAGGATGCACGGAATCAAACAAAAAAAAACACGGGAGATGAAGCTGAAGAGAGGCTGCGAGGCGGCTTACCGGGGAAGCGCGGGTCGTGGAGGAGGAGGGGCTCGCCGGCGGCCGGAGGATTCGGAGGAGATAGCGGTGAGCGTGGGTGCGGCGAGCGCAGGTTGTTGTCTACGAGTGGAAGGGGAGAGGACGCAGGAGCGGAGAGCTGAAAAGAGGAGCTATCGATGGCAAGCGGGACCCGGGTCGCGTGGGCGGTGGGCTGCCGAAAGCGAGCCAGGCAGGGTTTCTGAACGGATTCCTTTCAAAATTTGTTCGAGGGAAAAGAGTGCTCGCGTGGAGGGCCTGGAGGCTGGAGCTGTCTTGTTACGTGGGCCACTGCCGTCACGTCCGTTTTGCCTGGCCCAAGTTTGGCCCAGTTCAGCTCATTCGTGCTACCAATAGTCTAACACCCGTTTCTCAAAACAAAATAAAATAAAAAAACAGTCCAACACCGGCAACAGCTGTTGTTGTGCAGCTGTCGGTGGCACGGTGCGCCGGCCCGGCAATCAGCGGTCGGCTGGGAGGAAGAACGTGCAAGCCGGACAATGGATTTTGCACAAAGAAGTGGCCGCTGGCCGGCCGGGCGGAAGAACGTGCAGCCGGTAGATGGATTTTGCACAGGAGTGCGGGGCCACGACGCTGCTGTTTGCGCTCATTCTCGGCCTCTCAGGACCGGCGTGCCCCGGCATTACTTTTATCGATCGATTCTTTTTGTTTGTCCCTTTTTTTTATTTTGTTTTCCCTTTGCTGTGTTACTAATCTGGTCATCCATTAAACCCTTGTGTATAGCACAGTTAAATGTAAAACTACCTAGAAGATTTTTCTTTTATTGTGCAGTTGTAAACCCACAACTTTTAGCAACAAGGTGAATATATATCGAACATGCACGTATGAATACAACCATTTAGTCTGAAACCATCTTATCCATTTACTATCTAAATAAATAAACTTTTTTCAAGCCATTGGTTTCTACACAGCACTTCTACCTCTCAAAGATTCAAGATCATATATCCCTGTCGTCGCATACCCATTTCAAATGACTGAGGCCGCCAAAAATCCAGTCAAGTATAAAACTAATAATATAAAAAAATTCAGGTGATTCAACCTCAATGAAGGTTTAATTATCTGCTTTTTTTAGTTTTCTCCTGGGATGGAATGTATTCTCAAACTGATATAGCTTGATAATGTGCAAACAACGAGTTTCCTTTTTTAGGAAAAAAAATGAGCCGAGTAAATGGAGACAAATAATGTTACCCAGCTTCAGCCAATGCCCATAGGTAGATCCTGTCCGTCGAAGCTTTTTTCTTTAGCAACCTGTCCGTTGAAACTTCAACCATCACTCATTTCTCTTTCCCCAAAGCCCGCACCGCATCCGCATCCCCAAAGCCCCTGACTGTCTGGAACAACGCCATCACCTGGATCGGTCCTCGATCCCGTGCCTTCCATGGGCGCCTCCACTCCTCGCCACCATTCCACCTCCCCCTTCCAACGATCCCTCCTCTCCAGGCGGATCATCACGTTCGCGCTATACGCGCTGGTCCCGCTCGCCCTCCTCCACTACCTCCTCTCCTTCCCTCCCTCTCCAGCCCCGACCACCTCCTCGCCGTCACCGCCGCAGGGGCTCAAAACCGCCGCCGCTGCGGGCGCCGCCGGTGGAGCAGCAAGAAAGATCGCGGCGCCGCCAAGGTGCGACTACTCGGATGGGGCGTGGGAGCGGAGCGAGGCGGGCCCGCTGTACAATGGCACGAGCTGCGGCGAGACGATCAAGGCCGGCCAGAACTGCGAGGCGCACGGGCGGCCCGACACGGGGTACCTCCGGTGGCGGTGGCGGCCGCGCGGGTGCGCGCTCCCGCCGTTCGACCCCGCCGAGTTCCTGCGCCTCGTCCGCGGCGCCACGTCGCCTTCGTGGGCGACTCGCTCGCGCGGAACCAGTGCGAGTCCCTCGTCTGCCTGCTCAGCTCCGCGTTTCCGGTCCAGCTGGTGCGCGGCGCCGGCGGCGGCAACGGGGACGGGGACGGGGACGGCGACGAGCTCCGCAAGTTCCGGCTCTGGGCGTTCCCGTCGCACAACGCCACGGTGTCCGTGTTCTGGTCTCCCTTCCTGGTGAACGGCACGGAGAAGGCCAAGGGGGCAGCGGTGGGGAAAGGGCTGGACCACAACCGGCTGTACCTGGACCAGCCGAACGAGCGGTGGGCGGCGGAGGTCCCCGGCATCGACGTGGTGGTGCTCTCGGCGGGGCACTGGTTCCTGCACTCGACGCTCTTCTACGACCGCGGCGCCGTGGTCGGGTGCCACCACTGCCCGGAGCCCAACCGCAGGGAGACGGGCTTCTTCGGCGCGTTCCGCCTCGCCGTCCGCGGCGCGCTCCGCGAGGTCGTCCTCCGCGGCGCCAGGGCGCAGCGGCGGCAGGGCGGCCGCGGGGGGCCGAAGCTGGCCGTGCTGACGACCTTCTCGCCCGCGCACTTCGAGGGGGACTGGGACAGCCCCACCGCGTGCGCGCGCACGGAGCCGTACGCGCCCGGGGAGCGGGCGATGGAGTACATGGACGGCGAGATGCTCCGCGCCGAGGCCGAGGAGGTGGCGGCGGCGGGCGCGCGGGCGCGCGGGGCCGGGGTGACGGTGGAGGCGCTGCAAGTGACGCGGATGGCCGGGCTGCGCGCGGACGGGCACCCGGGCTCGTACATGCACCCGTTCCCGTTCGCCGGCGGCGCGAGGGAGCGGGTGCCCAACGACTGCGTGCACTGGTGCCTGCCCGGGCCCATCGACGCGTGGAACGAGATCCTGCTGCAGGTCGTCAAGCGGTGGGCCGACGGGGTCGACGCCGACGCCTCCTCCTCGTCGTCGTCGTTGTCGCCATGAAAGATGAAAGCTACCGTCACCACAGGAGGAGACTGAAAGGCAGTCTGGATTTTGGAGTTTGGTTCAAATTATAGACTGTTCGAACTAGAATGTTTACCTTAAAATTCTTTAGAGCGATTCCAGGTCAAACGGCATCGGTGAGAGGAGTTGATGAGATAGTCTTGCTGTAACAAATGTTCTTGGATTATTTTGATGTGCCCCGTGCGCTTGTACCTACTGAGTAGTACTGCTGCAGGAATTACTGAATCATAGTACGGAGTATAATATAATGGTTCCGTTCGATTCGTCGAAAAAAAAGGTGAAATTCTGACTGATTTGCGTGAAAAAAGAATTCTGTTCTGACTAAAATAAATAAATAAATAATATGAATTATAACACAAGCGAAAAAAGACCGCTGCGTGTTTAACTTGGTATAAAGAAAATACTGCATGTTACGGTCCACGAGATGGCAGTACGATGGCACCGTGATTACCGGAGACCCACGCGGGGCGCGGCGACGTGCCGGTCACTCGCTCTCCCTGTCTCCAACTCTCCGAGTCCCGAAACGAGCCTAGACCTGCGGCGTCAGGTGCGGATCGCGGCGAGGTGCCGTCGTCATTTCCTGTTTCCGTTGCAGTAAAATACAAATGAGAGCTCGTTTAGTTCAATTTTTTTTTTTCAAAAAGTGGTACAGTAGTCACTACATCGAATCTTGCGATATGTGTATGGAGCATTAAATGTAGACGAAAAAAAACTAATTGCACAGTTTGGTTGGAAATTACGAGACGAACGTTTTGAGCCTAATTAGTCTATGATTGAACACTAATTGCCAAATAAAAACGAAAATAGTACCGTAGCCAAATTCCTAAAATTCATGAACTAAACACAGCCTGACATGCGCTCCTTTGTGCGAGGGAAGGGGAAGAGGAAGGGATCACAGGCCGGCAGTGGTGCGGGTACGCCACCTTGCCTGCCCAGCGCCCGGCACATGGCTGCTCAAGGTCTGAGGGAAGCACGGACGGAGCTATGTGGGGGCCAAATTGGATCCTGGCCCCCCCCCCCCTCTTTGCTCCGGCTGCACTCTAGAGGTTGAGGTTTGCATGTCGCTGCATGCATGTAATTAATTCCTGCATATCTCATATCATACTTGCTGTTGCTGATTAGTGGATTACAGCTTATAAGTATGTAAATCTGTACATTGTTTATTCTTCTTTAACAGAATTTCAATTGTTCATTACAATTTATATAGATAAAACTTGAAAAAACAAAGATTTTCCACATAATTCCAATTATATATACTATTATTAGTAAATACTGTAGCAATGTACCTTTGAAATTCCCCCTACACATTCATGCAAGCTCCACCACTGGACGGAAGGCCGAGGCTGAGATCGCCTGATCGGTCGCCGACCTCGTACAGTCGTACGTGTCCGATCTTCTTTAAGACCTCCGGTTTTCGTGCTACAACTACAAGTGGAAGTGCGGCGGTCCTTGATGATCGACTCCTCGTGGCACCGGCACCTCTGGTTTTCGTCTTCCTTTTGCTGGAGTAGACTGTATGCAGTAGTAAAACTTGAAGTAAACGGAAGGTATTTTACAGTTAAAATACGTGCTAAAGCTCTCGTGTGCTACCGTTCATCCTTTCCTAGTGATCTGCACTTCCTGCAGTAGTAGGAGTTACCAGGTCACAGCGTGTTTGGCACAGCTCTTAGGGCTCCGGCTCCTGTAGGGGTACGATAACAAGGAGTCAGAGAAGCTCTAAATCGTAGTTCCACCTGGTCCTTCTTTTTTCAGTTCATTTTTTACCTTAAAATCCTAAACGGCTCCACACTACCGTGCTACACAGTGTCGCTACAGAGATTTTGAGAGGGAGCCAGAGACAAGGAGCAATACCAAATACAGCCTTAGTATGCTCCTACTACGGAACATAATTCAATGCCACGTAACCTTGTAGTTTTGGATCCACATGAATAAAGTGCAGCATGAACTTGTAGTTTTGGATCCATGCGTGAAAAGAAGAGTTAAAATCTAGGCATATTTTCTCTAATTAGAAATATAAATTTTATTGGAATATTATTAACTACAGAAGACCCCCTTTAACTAGCAATATATTAGAAGTATATTATCTTGTTGAATTGATTACGATATGAAAGTATTTCCGTAATTAATCTAATTAGGCTGACTTTATGTCGTTAATATACATAATATTTTAGATATTGTTAATCTAAGATAGCAAATTTTGATTTAAGGCAAACCTCACACGTCCACAAATAAGATTGTCTCCAACGAGGAACCCATATGGGAACCCAAACCCAAAATGAGTAGCAAGAGATCTAAAATCAGCCTTCAACAGAGTACCTATACGGAACACCTATTTTGGATTGCCTGAGAGGCACAACTCAAATATGGGCATCCTCTTTCCTGGAAACTCATTTGCAGAAAGGATTTTCTTTTGAGTCTTGTTGTTAGAGAAGATGTCGAATATGTATTGAATCTTTTGCCTGTAGCGCTACCTAAAGGATGAATGTGTCTTGTATTTTGAGTGTTGTTGTTGGAGATAGCCTAACACGTCCACAAGGAAGTAATAAAAGACCTGCTTCCTCTGTCCCTAAATGTTTATCGCTACGATTTGCGTGCCAATAACTTTGACTCGATTTATAGAAAATACGTGTAATATTTTTATCTTTAAATAAATTTATTAAAAACTAGATTCAAATATCTATCAATGATACTAATTGTGTATTATAAATATTAATATTTTTAATATATATTTAGTCAAAGTTATTTCAAGCAAGCAAAAACAAACGACATTTAGGGACGGAGACGGTATCACGCTCAGACGCCTCAGCTTATTTATAAGAGAGTACGGTATGAGACCTCATAATCTTGGGGTTTACTGTGTTGCAAAAAAAATCTTGTGGTTTACTGGAGCCTTCACCATTTCCAACCACCGTCAACCTACAGGCGACTCCACTTGTCCTCCCATTGGCGCCTCATAAGGACTGGACTTGCTCTGGTAAGCAGGATCCATCTCCATGGGTACCTCCAGTACTTGTCCTTGCCACAACTTCAGCTCCTCCTCCATCCTCACCAAGCGGACCATCACCTTCGCGCTCTACGCCCTCGTCCCCCTCACCCTCCTCCACTACCTCCTCTCTCTTCCTCCCCATCGCCCCCCTCCTCCCATCACCGGCGCCACCACCTCCCCATCGCCGCCGCAGCAGACGGAGGCTCCGGCAGCGTGGTGCGATTACTCGGACAGGGAGTGGGTGCGGACCGCGGCAAGCCCTCGGTACAATGGGCGAGCTGCGGCGAGACGATCAAGGCCTGTTGTGATAAAATTTGTTGCGTTGCATGTATTCTATTTTAGGCGTGTCCTAGATTAGCGGTGAGCGCGGCCAGTTCAGCGCCGTGCACGTCTTTCTTTCCATGCAAGTGTGCGTGAGTGGTGAAACTTGGCCCAGCATTGACGCCCACGTTCCGTGGCTGTGGGATGGCGCAGCAAGAAGATCGGGACGTGGGCGATGGTGTTCGTGGCCTTGCCGAGCCTGTAATGGTGTGTGTCAGTAAAGGAGAAGAAAAGGCAGTAAGTTTGTGCGCTGCGCCAATTCCCTGTCTCTGTGCTTGAATGCGAGTTCGTCGAGTTCACGGCGCTGTTCATCGAGTTCGTCGCGAAACCACAGATAGCGAGAGAGGAAATGAGAGCGTTCCAGCGAGAATTGAGAGAGAATCTAATCCAACAACTGGTATCGGAGCCCGATTTCGTCGCTGGGATCGTCACGGAGCGATCACCGCAACATTCATGCCGACAAACAACTCAAGGTCGCCGCGACGGCGGCGGTCTTGGTCTCCACCCGTCGGCCGCTCTGGAGGTAGCGGCGGGGATGATCGTGGGCTGGTGCTTCACCGCACGGTCAAGGAGCTCGGCAACAACGCTGGGTGGCCAATGCTGACGAGAACAAACTACACTGACTGGGCGGCGTTGATGCGCATCATGCTGCAGGGCAGGCACCTGTGGGATGCCATCAATGTCGGCACCAACAGCTTCACCGACAACCGCAACGCCCTGGAGGCGCTGTGCAAGGCGGTTCCAGAGGAGCTCCGCGGGACGATGGCCAACAAGCCCACGGCCAAGGCGGCGTGGGACGCACTGAAGACACGCCACATCGGCGTCGATCGGGTACGGAAGGCCAGGGCGCAGACTCTGCGTCAAGAGTTCAACGGCCTCACCTTCAAGGAGGGGGAGACCGTCGATGACTTCGCGTATCGTATCACCAAGATCACTGACCAGCTCGCCATCTTGGGTGATGCCTACGAGGAAGAGAAGATCATCCGTAAGTTTCTTCAAGCCGTTCCAGATCGCTTCCATCAAATTGCAGCGGCCATCGAGACTCTCCTCGATCTCGAGGCAGTCTCCCTAGAGGAGTTGGTGGGCGGCTCAAGGCGATTGAGGAACGGCTCGATCATGGGAGAGGAAAAGGCGGCGGAGGCTCGGGTGGCGGTGGCGTCGGCAAGGAGATCGACGGCAAGCTGTATTTCACCAAGGAGCAGGTGATGGCGCGCCTCACGTTCCGCCTCAACCTCAACTCTGATGGGTCAGCGGGGCGCGGCAAGCGTCGCGGCGGTACGGGCCGTGGCAAGGAACGCGGGAAGGAAACACGTTCAGGATACTAGTGGCACAAGTTACAAGTGCTATCCACAAGCGGTGTCATTCCAACAATCAAGTGATGTCCATAAAAATGCAAGAATCAAGCCTCAACCATCTACCCCAAATGCATACATTTTCATTAATGAGATGCACATCTTTTATGGAAATTGATGACAAAGGGGAAGAGATTGTACAAAGATATGAAAGATTGAAACAAAGAAGTAGAAGTTGAACATGGACATAGATAAAGAGGGAGCAACATTGAAGAAAAGAGATGGATCAAAATTCTTAGACAAGAAAAGCACACAAATAGGGGGAGCAAGCTCATGAACTTTGATTGATTGCATTTGATATGTGCATATTCATGTGCTTGCTTGCATTGCATAAGCTTTCAAATTCAATACGCATGCCTGTGTGGTGTATGCTAGTTGTAGAACTTGAATGATGATTTGATAACTAGCATGCATAGGATAATAGCTAGACACTTGGTATGCTTTACAAGTAATACTAGTACCTTGCCTTTAATGTTGATCTCACAAGGTATCTAGTGATTTTATTGTGATATCTAGCTAACCATGGTGCTAAGGATGAACTTAAAGGTGCAACTCCGATTGGTATCATACTTCAAAGGTTTACTCTATACACCTTAGCATCATTTAGTAGTAATTACTCTCCCACAATTTTAATCTATGCATATGTGCGAGCTTAAAGGATTGTTTGGGACTTAAAGGCTTTGTTGTTGTTGTTGTTGTTGTTGTATATGTGCGAGCTTCAAATCAAACACTCTAGCACATATGTAGGGGGAGCTAATACTACCATTTCAGGTTTGTGGTACTTGTCCAAAATCATTTGCATATGGTAAAATTGCTTGGGCAAGCAACATGAATCCAAAAGAGCTTAATTTCCATATCTTTGTAGAGTTGTCATCAATTACCAAAAAAGGGGAGATTGAAAGGTCCTTGTTTGGTTTTGGTAATTGAGTGACAACCTAGGTGGACTAATTGTGTTTATGTGAGATACACAAGTAATTAGTCCACAGCTACATGTGTGTGAGCAACATATGCCATGAAGGTGAAAATGGCTTGGAGATGTTGCAAAGCTCACACATGTGATGATGAAGGAGCTTATTGCACATGAGACATGACATTGAGTCATGTGATCAAGGTGGAGAAGATCAAGACAAGACTTGGCTTGATGGACCGGTTGCAAGCATGAAGGGCAAGTCGGAGGCTTTGGAGCGATGGACCGTGTGGCGGTGAAGCTTGAGCAAGACTTGGCGCCGATGGACGAAGGCAACGGTGAAGAGCAAGTGAAGTCAAGATTGATGAACCAATATGATCACGTGATGATATGAAGTGGATCATATCATTGTTGATCATGTTGGTGCATGTGTTGCATCGACATTGGAGGAGATAGAATGGAATGCGCAAGGCAAAGGTATAACCTATGGCATTTTATTTCACCGGTCATAGGTGTGTAGAGAAGTTTATGACCGGGTTTAGGATAGATGGCCATACTATCAAGAGGGGCAAACTTGTTTGCATATCGGTCATCTAATGCCACCTGAGTGATCTAACCTTGCATCGTCGCTAGGATTGAGTGGTGTGGCAAGTTGAGTGGCTAATCCTTTAAAAAATGATTGTAAAAATTCTAACACACATACATATGGTGGTGTACACTTGGTGGTGTTGGCACATTTACAAAGGAGGTGAAGTTGGAGTTGGTGTGGATCAACTCGTCGATGAAACGGAGGCGAAAGGAGAAACTTCACCGGTGGAGTGTCCGCCCGTAGAGTGCGGACAGTCCGACGGTGCCACCAGTGCCCTAGACAGAAAAGATGGAGGTCACTGTAAGTGACCGGACGCTTGTCTCGGTTGGACCGGCGCGTCCGGTCAGTGGCAGCAGAGGGCGCGCGTTTCAGTCTTCGACCGGACGCTGGCACTAAATGTGACCAGACGCTGGCAGGGTGCGTCTAGTCAATGCTGACGTACGCTGACGTAGGGCGCACAGAAGGGTCGTTGAGTGACCGGATGCTGGCTGCGTTCGGTCGAGCATGACCGGACGCGTCCGGTCGTGAAATATCGTTTCTAGAACCTTACTGGAAATGACCGGACGCTGGAGGCTCAGTGTTCGGTCGTCAGATGATCGTTGAGATCGGATGAACAACATTTGAAGGAGGGGACACGTGGCGAGTATCGCGTGACCGGACGCTGAGGTCTAGTGTCCGGTCGATCGGACCGGAGCGTCCGGTCGCCCCGACTTTTGCCCAGTAAAGGGGTAACGGCTCTATTTGTTCGTGGGGTTATAAATAGAAGCCATGGTCGGCCTTGGGATGGTAGCTGAGCACACTAGAGCCTTGGTGGCTTTGTGTGGTAGTGCTTGGGAGCCCTCCATCTCACACATACTTGATAGTGATCGTCCGATTGTATGAGTGAGCGATTCTAGTGTGATTGCATCGTGAGGTTGCATTGAGTGGCACTAGGAGATCGAGTTGCAAGCCGGTGGTGCTTGTTACTCTTGGAGGTTGCCACCTCCTAGATGGCTTGGTGGTGGTCTCCGTCGAAGCCCGCAAGAAGCTTGTGCGGTGCTCCGGAGAAGAGCTTTGTGAGGGGCATTGTGCTCGCCCCGTGGGAGCCATGAAGAGCAACTCTAGTTGAGCGTGTCATTGAGCTACCCTCACTTTGGGGTAGGTTCTTGCGGTGCCCGACGTGCGGGCTTGGCGGGTGATGCCAATTAGCCGCCGAACCACTAAGTGAGCGGTCGACACAACGGGGACTAGCGTGTTGGCAAACACGTGAACCTCGGGAGAAAAATCACCGTGTCAACCTTGTTCTTCCCGTTGGTTTGCATCCTCGTTACACAAGCTTGTAATTACTTTTGCATATATTGTGCTTGTGTAGTTGCTCTTGTAATTAGTTAGCTTGTGTAGCTTACTAGTTATCTTCTTACTTGTGTAGCATAGAAGTAGCTCCCTTGCGTGGCTAATTTGGTTTGTGTGACCTTGTTAGTCACATTGCTTAGTTTGTATAGCTAAGTGATTGCGCTCTCTAATTTAGCATTGGTTGCCTTGTTATTGAGCATTGCTAGTGAGCTTAGGTGGCTTTGTGCTTTTGCTTACTAGCTTGTGTAGGAGCTCCCTTTTGCTTGAAGTACTAGTGGCATAGGTTTGTGTGACCTTGCTTCTAAAATTGGTTATGTAAGCTCTAGCTAGCCTGGCACCCTTGTTGCTTAATTAGTATCTTTGGAAGGTGCTAAAGAACATAGATAGAGGGGTGTAGTATTGGCTAGACCGATAGTTTTAATTCCACATTTGTTTCGGTTAGCCGATGCGATTAATTTTAGAAAGGACTATTCACCCTCCCTCTAGTCCGTCATCTCGACCTTACACCGGCGACGCGTCCATCTTCTTCGAGCTCAGTCATGGTGTCATCGGATCTGTGAAGTTCGGGGATGGCTCCCTGGTGGAGATAGCGGGGCGCGGCACCATCCTGTTCGAGTCGAAGGACGGCGGCCACCGGGCGTTCCATGACGTATACTACATCTCGCGGCTCTGCAACAGCATCCTCAGCATCGGGCAGCTCGACGAAATAGGCTGCAAGATCGACATCAACAACGACGTCCTCCGGATGTGGGACAAGGGGAGCCAGGAGCTGATGGCAAAGGTGAAGCTTACGCCTAATCGCCTGTACATCCTCCCGCTCAAGCCGACCAGGCCGGTGTGTCTAGCCGCAAGCTTCGACGACGACGAGTGGATGTGGCATGCTCGTTTCGGCCATCTGGGGTTCTAGGCCCTACAGAAGATGAGAAGCGGTGGCATGGTGCGCGGGCTGCCCTCCATCAAGCACGTCGAGAACGTCTGCGACGCATGCCTGGTTGGGAAGCAGCGTCGAGCGTCGTTCCCGCAGGCGGCCAAGTACCGCGCCACCAAGCCCCTGGAGCTGATCCATGGCGATCTATGCGGCGCGGTGACACCGCCAACTCCCTGTGGTAAGAAGTACATCATGCTCGTCATCGATGATATGTCCAGGTACATGTGGGCGGTCCTGCTCACAAACAAGTCAGACGCCGAGAACGCGTTCAAACGCCTACGCGCCGACGTCAAGAATGAAGCCGGGCGGCAGATTCAAGCGTTCCACACTAATCATGGGGGGGAGTTCGTGTCGGCGAGCTTCCTCGAGTACTGCACCGAGCACGGCCTCAAGCGTCACCTGACCGCGCCGTACAGTCCCCAGCAAAACGGCATGGTAGAGCGGAGGAACTAGTCCGTGCTCGCCATGGCGCGGAGCATGATGAAGGCCAAGAACGCTCTAGCCTGGCTTTAGGGGGAGGCTGTGATGACAGCTGTCTTCCTCCTGAATCGAGCCCCGACGCGGAGCCTAGTGGGCCGGACACCATATGAGGCGTGGTACGGTGTCAAGCCGGCCGTCCACTTCCTGCGTGTGTTCGGCTGCGTGGCTCATGTCAAGGTCACAAAGCCAAACGCGGGGAAGCTGGACGATAGGAGCCACAAGATGGTGCTGATCGGCTATGAGGAGGGATCAAAGGCGTATAGGGTGTTTGATCCCACTGCGAACCGTGTGCATATCACGCGTGATGCGGTGTTTGAAGAAGGGGCGGCCTAGGACTGGGGCACATCTGACGAAGGAGACAATGGATAGATCATGAACAGTGTTGAGCAAGGGGGTTTTGTGGTGGAGGATGAATGGGTGAGTCTAGGCAAAGAGGAGACGGTCACTGCCACACCGGCAGGACCCGGCTCCACGACGGCCTCACCGGGGGTCGCGCTGCATCACCAGGCGCGGCACCGACCCCACCGGGCTCGACACCACCGGGTTCCATGCCCGGGGAATTGGCTTCATCGGCGGCGCCCACAACCATGTCGTCATCGCGCATGCCACGAGTCCAAGGAGGTCCAGTACCGTGGCAAGGTGAACTGCCACAGAAGGATCAGGTCCTCGTCGAGTTCGTGTCCCCTACCTCCGCAGCGCTGGAGACGCTGGATGCGGATGACGACGAGGGGCTCGCACATCGGTTCAGGATCGTGGACAACCTGCTGTACGACGACGATGAGCTAGTGGCAGATGGCGATCTACTCCTGGCTGTCGATGAGGAACCCACCACCTATGACGAGGCGTCGGGTCATAAGGAGTGGAAGATGGCAATGGCGGAGAAGCTGAAGTCCATTGCTGATAACAAGACTTGGACGCTCACTAAAGCACCGCCTGGAGCGAAGCCGATCGGGCTCAAGTGGGTGTTCAAGATCAAGCGCGACGCCGACGGCAACATCACTAGGCACAAGGCTCGCTTGGTGGCGAAGGGGTACGTGCAGCACGCCGGCGTTGACTTTGAGGAGGTGTTCGCGCCCGTGTCGCGTCTGGAATCTGTACGGTTTCTCCTCGCCATCGCCGCGCATCGAGGGTGGACGGTGCACCACCTCGACGTGAAGTCGGCGTTCTTGAACGGCGACCTGGCGGAGGAAGTTTACATCGAGCTGCCGTCGGGTTATGTTGTCCGGGGTAAGGAGCGGAAGGTGTACAAGCTACACAAGGCGCTGTATGGGCTCAGGCAGGCGCCCAGGGCCTGGAACGCCAAGTTAGACAGCTCCCTGCTGAAACTTGGGTTTAGGTGCAGCGCGGCGGAGCACGCCGTGTACATGCGCGGAACCGGCGACGACCTGCTACTCATCGGTGTCTACGTGGATGATCTCGTCATGGTTGGGGCGAACCAGACGGAGGTCAAACGCTTCAAGGAGGAGATGGCAAGGCTCTTCAGCATGAGTGATCTCGGCCCTCTACACTACTACCTGGGGATCGAAGTGCAGCAGAGCGCGAACGGCATCACGTTGTGCCAGAGCGCGTACGCTGACAAGATCATTGAAAGGGCCGGGCTGAAGGGGTGTAATCCGTGCAACACTCCCATGGAGCCACGGTTGAAGTTGAGCAAGGTGAGCTCCAACCCACCTGTTGATGCCACACTGTATCGCAGCATCGTCGGGAGTCTGCGGTACCTGGTGCATACGCGTCCAGACATCGCGTTCGTGGTGGGCATGGTGAGCAGGTTCATGGAGGCGCCAACAATGGAACACTGGAGCGCCGTCAAGCATCTCCTCAGGTACATTTCAGGTACGCGCTCTCACGGCTGTGTCTATAGACGCGGTGAGGGTGCACAGGAGCTGATCGGCTACAGCGACGCCGACCTGGCCGGGGACTGCGACGATCGGAAGAGTACCTCTGGTGCCTTCTTCTTCCTCGGCCAGAGCCCTATGAGCTGGCAGTCACAGAAACAACGTGTGGTGGCGCTATCGTCGTGCGAAGCAGAGTACATCGCCGGTGCCACCGCGGAATGCCAAGGAGTTTGGCTTTCCAGGTTGCTGGCGGACCTGGTGAACGTGAAGGCTGTCGTGCCGCTGCTCTATATCGACAACAAGTCTGCGCTGGCTCTCGCCAAGAATCCGGTGCTTCACGAAAGGAGTTAGCACATTGATGTTCGTTTCCATTTCATTCGAGACTGCATCAACAATGGCACTTTGGAGACGGACTACGTCAGGACCGGAGATCAGCTAGCGGACTTGCTCACGAAGCCGCTTCCACGCGATCGACTGCAGGAGTTGCGTGCTCGGAGCGGCATCATCAACACAAGAGCAACGCAACATAATTAAGGGGGAGATTGTTGTGATAAAATTTGTTGCGTTGCATGTATTCTATTTTAGGCGTGTCCTAGATTAGCGGTGAGCGTGGCCAGTTCAGCGCCGTGCGCGTCTTTCTTTCCATGCAAGTGTGCATGAGTGGTGAAACTTGGCCCGGCATTGATGCCCACGTTCCATGGCTGTGGGATGGCGCAGCAAGAAGATCGGGATGTGGGCGATGGTGTTCGTGGCCTTGCCGAGCCTGTAATGGTGTGTGTCAATAAAAGGAGAAGAAAAGACAGTAAGTTTGTGCGCTGCACCAATTCCCTGTCTCTGTGCTTGAACGCGAGTTCGTCGAGTTCACAGCGCTGTTCATCGAGTTCGTCACGAAACCACAGACAGCGAGAGAGGAAAGGAGAGCGTTCCAGCGAGAATTGAGAGAGAATCTAATCCAACAAGGCCGGCCAGAACTGCGAGGCGCACGGGCGGCCCGACACGGGGTACATCTACTGGCGGTGGCGCCCGCGCGGGTGCGCGCTGCCGCCGTTCGACCCCAACGAGTTTCTGAGCGCGGTGCGCGGTCGCCACGTGGCCTTCGTGGGCGACTCGCTCGCGCGGAACTAGTGCGAGTCCCTGGTGTGCCTGCTCACCTCCGCGTTCCCGGCGCAGCTGGTGCGCGGCGCCGGCGGCGGCGACGGGGACGGGGACGGCGACGAGCTCCGCAAGTTCCGGTGCTGGGCGTTCCCGTCGCACAACGCCACGGTGTCGGTGTTCTGGTCACTGTTCCTGGTGAACGGCACGGAGAGGCCCAAGTCGCCGGCGGCGGCGGCGGGAGGGCTGGACCACAACCGGATCTACTTCGACCAACCCGACGAGCGGTGGGCGGCGGCGGTCCCGGGATTCGACGTGGTGGTGCTGTCGGCGGGGCAGTGGTACCTGAACTCGGCCATGTTCTACGACCGTGGCGCCGTCATCGGCTGCCACCGCTGCCCGGAGCGCAACCGCACGGAGACGGGCTTCTTCGGCGTGTTCCGCCTCGCCGTCCGCAACGCGCTCCGCGAGGTCATCACCCGCGTCGCGGGCACATCCTCCTCCTCCTCGCCCGCCCGCCCCCAGCTGGCTGTGGTGACGACGTTCTCGCCGGCGCACTTTGAGGGGGAGTGGGACAGCCCGACCGCGTGCGTGCGCACTGAGCCGTACGCGCGCGGGGAGCGGGAGATGGAGTACATGGACAAGGAGATGCTGCGCGCCGGGGTGGAGGAGGCCGCGGCGGCGGGCGCGGACGCGAGGGCGCGCGGGGCGGGCCTGGCGGTAGAGGCGCTGCAGGTGACGCGGCTGGCAGCGATGCGCCCGGACGGGCACCCAGGCCTGTACACCCGGGCGTTCCCGTTCGCCGAGGGGGCGAGGGATCGGATGCCCAACGACTGTGTGCACTGGTGCCTGCCCGGGCCCACCGACACGTGGAACGAGATCCTGCTGCAGATCGTCAAGCGATGGGCCGACGGCGTCGCCATCGCCATGAACCATTCTTTACCACGTGAGGTTCGAAGCTACCGACCGAGTGGCCGTTTGGTTGGGCGATTTTGGTCCAAACCCTTGCAAATAGGTTCGAATTATTGGATGGGCGATTTTGGTTCAAATCCTTGGAAATGGGTTCGAATTAGAATTACTCCCATACATCGTCAAGATTTGTAGAGTCGGCTTTTCGTTCAGACGCTCCCGCTTAAGTTGGGCTTGTAATGTTGCTACTAGTAACAGGTGTCTTTCGCTCGTGTTTTTTTTTTAACGAAACCAAGACTGAAACCAGCTTTAACTAGTCAGCTTAGTCAGAATGAGAACCTGAAATATGGCCAGAACCTGCGGCGAAGGTGCGGAACGCTGTGCTGTGCTGACCTTTTCTTGGATGATCGACGCTCCACCAATGACCTTTTGCCCAGTTATCAGGGGGCTGTTCCATCTTCAGCTCAACAATGCTCATTTTCGTGATCTTTGCAGAGCCAGGAGTCCTGGACAAAAGCAGTCAGTTTTATGCCCAACCCAGCTTGCACTAGTCTAAAACACTGGCTGTCAGCAATAATCACTCAACATCATCACAAATTAAACGGATGAGAGTGATTCTTGATGGACTGTCACAATGAAAAATCTGCAGGAAGACCAAACAGTGATCATCAGGCCACCAGAGCTGGCACACCATACCAAACTACCAGAAAATGCGACTTGGGAATTATATATACAGAATTGAGTCGCCTGCCAAGGAGGTAAGGAGGAACACCTGCATTGCAGCCTATTTCCAAAAATGACTACAAAAGAAGGCATCAAGACATGGACGAGTCATGTAAACAAATCAGTGGAGCAAACGAATGAAGAGAGCACAAATGGTTTTCAGGGCACATGAACACAACTGACAATTCATTACAGTAAACTCGAGGACAGGTGATACTATGTGAAGAGTCTACAATGGAGGGAGAGGACATCAAATACATTATCAACCAAAAGATTAAAGAAATGATTAAACAAAATACTGTATGTGTTAGGATACAGTATGGTCCAGCCTTCTTCCAAATGTAGCTCCTCGGAAGAAGGCAAATTGTACGACTATGATGTCCTTGTTAAGTATGATTGTCCATCCATGATCTAGATATGGTACAAAATACAACAGGACCTAAAAGATAGCCATGCATTAGATTAACCCGGACGATCACTTCCATAGAACTGCATGATAGAATTATTGCTTGAAAGTGCCCTGGCTGATCAAGCACACAAACTTTACCATTTGCAGTGGTGAAGAACATTAAATGTGTACTGTTAAGCATAATCTGAAAATAGAATATCAACAGAAAAGTCCTTATCTCACATTTTGACCACTGGAACATTAGTGTTGTAAATTCGTTAGTTGTTTTAAAGACTACAACAAGGAAAAATGACATAAAATGATCTTGCTAGATACGTAATTCACCCATGCACCCCTTGCCTCCATCTAACAAATCCAAATCCTTCCATGTTTAGTTTTCAAAGTTCAAGTGCACATTCTAGGACGCCAAGCAAAAAAGAAAGGAAGGGTATTTTGCTTGCATGATCATACTACCTTTGACATTGCATTACATATGTCAATTACTAGTATACTTTGATTCAAAGCAAACAGCCACATCATATCTACAAGGATGACATGTACAATGTCAGTTTGTTATTTGCCAACGTCTATATAACCTCTAAAAATGTGAAGAGACAATATTAAAGGCCATGACAGGCAATATACTTTGTTTGGTGGCAAAATGCTACAATTTTTTGTGCTTAGAAATTTGGATTTAGGGTGTTACTTGACAATTTGGTATTAAGCCTTCAAATTTGTTTCTTGATATAAGAGATGGTAATTATATTATAAACCTTAGTTAGTAGGACTATGCTTGCTTTCTCAGTCACTATTTTGACTCCTTTTGATGTAGAGGTCAACTAGGCCAAGAGTTACTACAAAAATGCTTGGGTCCAATTTCCTAGCTCAATAATCACTGAAAAACTATATAACTACAAGGTATGGAACTGCAACGAGAAGAAATATACTCACAGGACCCAATGCTCATCATTACAATGTTGCAATTGTTTCTTATACTTTTCCTATTTTTCATCCATTTGTTATTGATATGTTAAGAAAAAAATCCTTCCCTCCCATAGATGCTATTCTCGACACAACCTTTCCCTCCACTCCACTGCAGCTCCAGGGTTCAGCCATTGCATCAGTACTATCAGAACCCACCAATGCCACCATCCCAACTCTCGTGTGCTAAGACCCCATGGGCATGGCCACAATTCTCCCAACTCCAGCAGTGCCCACAAAATCCCAGTCAAAGTGTGTGGGTGACAGGGTGAGACTGTGACTGATTTGTAGTGGTTCTCATTCTCCTCATTTGCAAAAAGAGCCAAGATAAACAGAACCAATCTTAGATACTGCAGAAATGTTATAATGCAATCTTGGATCCAGCTACCACCGTCCCAACTTTAGTAGCGACCACTGCCGCATACAAAGATGCCAACAACTCCACATATCATGTCTCAGCCAACCTGCATCAGCGATGATATTACACTCCTGCTGCTACTAACTACCAGACAATTGCTTGGATCCTTGGGATGAAAATGGATGTGAGCAGCGGCATACGGTATAGTAAGCTAAAACATGGATTGGTTTTGGAAACAGTGGGAGGTGGAGGTGGGCACTGTGGCAACATGAGCCGGAAGAGAACATGGATATGTCAGTCTTTTCTGAAAATTCAGATGAACAGTAGTGACCAAAACAAAATGGGCCTTAACAGAAGATTTTAAACAAGAGACATGAAAATAATAGGCACATACATTGAAAAATAGGTGTCTCTTAAGGGCATAAACAAAATTATCCCTTACCAGAATGTCGGTCACGGTTTCAGAGAGCAGTGACCAGCTCATATTTCCCAGGAATGAAAACAGCAAAGTTCATTTAGGTGTAAACTTTCCATGGGTGGTAGGCAGATGGCAGAAAATCAGGCAATAAGAAGATCATCTCGTATAAAACAGGGGGCTCACTGCACACTTCGATAGTACTTCAGTGGTCTCGAGTTCACTTTTTCATTATCAAGATAGATGTCTATGTGCAGGAGTTTGAATTTGATCAGCCCACTTGACTAGAGTTACAAATTGCCTCACTGTCATTATTTTTTACTTTATCGCACGGAATTAAATATCAAGCAGTTTTCCAATTTACTAACAGATTGCTTGGACCGAATTACTGACATTTTTGTTTGGAAGAATTCAAATATTTGGGACACTACACATGCACCTGGAATTATATCTTACCCTAGTGGAGTGTTGTGCGCCTGTGCCAACAGTATTGAAACCATCAGTGTACAGACTCAATGTTTATGAACCTGAGATATTTAGAAGGAAGAAGGTATCTATTTTTTTTCCCTTTCCTTACGACAAACTAGCACTACAAACATATCGTATGTCCTTATAATATCATAAAACCAATGCAGTTAACCACTGTATCTGTTAGAGCAAAGTGGCGACTGTAAGTGATCTACAATTGTGCAAGTCAGTAAATATCATTTGTTACCCCCTTCGCTGCAAGGTACAAATGTAATGCAGGAGTTAAGGAATGCTTCTTGTAAAGCATTTAGGAGTAGATTTTGTTACCATCGCTAAGATGAAATGAACTAGTAGCAGGCTGCTCAACTAAGGATTCTTCCACTCCTGATTAGTCCACTCTAATTCAAGCGCCGTCAAGCAATCTCATCAAGCTCCTAGTTGATTGCATACTACCATGTCAATTGCTAAATCGGCAAAGAATCAGTATCAAGTTAAGGAATGCTTCTTGTAAAGCATTTAGGAGTAGATTTTGTTACCACCCATAAGATAAAAGGAACTAGTAGCAAGTAGCTTAACTAGGATTCTTCCACTCCTGATTAGTCCACTCTAATTCAATTGTCGTCAAGCAATCTCATCAAGCTCCTAGTTGATTGCATACTACCCATGTCAATTGCCAAATTGGCGAAGAATCAGTATCAAGTTTAGAAGCTCCTATCTAAACAGAGCACTAAATGTGAGTAGATCAATGGATTTGGAACTGGAAGTGAGATCAAGATCCAGTCGAAGAGTCTCTCACCTCTCAGTCGGCTCCAGCGCTGCCGCTGCCGCCGAGCGGGTAGGACACGAGCTCCCTAACGGTGGGCCCGACCTCGACGAGCGCGATGTCCATCCCGTACCCGGAGACGGGGAGCAGCTTGAGCTCTCGGAGCACGCAGAAGGCCTCGGCCATGCGGCCGCGGGGCACGTCGACAGCAACGGCGCACCGCGGTAGCCAGTGGTCGGGCCGGAAGGCGTCGGGGACCCCGACGCCAGCGTCCTTCCGCAGCAGCTCGCAGAGCTGCGCATGGAGGCCGAGCAGCGCGGCGGACGGAGTGGGCGCGAGGAAGAGGACGTTGTCGTGCGGGGAGGAGGAGGCGGAGACCGGGAGCGCGGCGAGCGAGGAGAGCGCGAGCGGGAGCGGGTCGAGGCGCGACGCGAGCGCGCGGAGAGAGGGCGCGAGGCGGAGGAGCGGGTCCCCGCCGGCGCCGGTGCCAGGCGGCGGGAGCGCGGCGGCGGGGAGGTGGAGCAGCGGGAGATGCGGGCGGGCGGCGGCGTCGATGAAGCGGCTGCCGAGCTGCCGCCGCGCCAGCGCGTTCCACGCCTTGAGCACCTGGTTCTCCAGCGCCGGGTCGAAGTAGAGCTCCACGGCGTAGTAGAATCCGGTCGCGAAGGAGGGCTGCGGAGGAGGCGCGGCTGCTGCCGCGGAGGCCCGGGGCGTGCCCGGAGGGGTCGTGGAGACGGCGGGGGCCGAGGGGCAGCCGCCGGCGGCGGCCCCGGCTGCGGAGGGCACCGTGCCTTGCGCCATCGGGGATGGATTCCGATTTCCGACAGGAGGCGAGGGGGGCGGCGGTGGGGAGGGGGCTGGGTTTTTTCGACACGACGAATCGAGCGAGGAATTTGGAGGAGAGAGATGAGATCTCGTCACGAATCGAGTCGAGTCGGGGGTAGCTGACTCGGAGGACTCACTCTACTATTACTATGGTCCAGTGGGGAGTCACTGAGAGGTGGGGCCGCGTGGTTGTGGTGGACTGGTGGTAAACCACGGTACCACCAGCTGAACACAAAGAAATTGACGTGTTTCTAATTTTGATGATAGCGTAGCCATATTGAAAGCTTAGATAGTTCCATTAAAGGATCTATGGTAGACGTATATGTTCATGCTAGGGAGGAGAGTAGACGACTGGACAGAGCATGTGCAGCAACAAGACGTCAATGTACACTACTTCACAATCACCGTACGTGCTGCAGTGGTCCAAAGTCCAAACACATCATCGTAATCTATACGCAGCCTGTTTGGTTGGGCTTATACGGTCGTAAACGATCGTAAATTTTCAAATTTAAACAATATTTTTCTCTAACATCAAACCAGCCAGCAGTACTTCTTCACGATCCAGCGACGAACAAGCCCAGCCAAACGAACAGGCCGATGTTCGGCTTTTGATGCAATAAAGCACTTAAAAATGGCTGGAAATTTTGGCATGGCAAAATCATGGCACCAATTTGGCAATTTCGTGAAGAATCCAAACCAAGTGGATTTGTTGCCATAGTTTTGGTGCGAAACCTACCATGGCCATCTAGCGCTTGATTGGTTTCTCGCTAAGGTAAGGTGTCTCGAGTTAAAAATGGCAACCTGGCTAGTTCTGAGTAGCAAGAACACGATGATCCAGTAGCAAGAACACGATTAGAATCAACACACGGGTGAAAGAAAGGACAAAAAATGATGCATCGATCCAAACCGCAAAAACACAACTTTGCCAATTGGAGGAACTGAAAGATCATCTTTAACGGCCACAAGAACGAACCCCGCGCCTCCAAGAACATGAGCAAAGATTGAGATCAAGCAAAAACCCTAGACCTCAGCTCATCCGAGCCCCCGATCCAGCCCGCGGTCGTCGACAACGCGCCTCGGGCCGCGGCAGCCGCAGCCGCCGATATCCCTGAGGGTGGTGGAGCCGCCGCGGCCGCGACGCGCTGCCCCATGGAGGTGGAGGCGCCGCTGGTCAGGGTGCTGCGGCTGCGGGCGGCGCCAAGGCTGGCGACGTCGTCGTTCTTCACAATGACGATCTCCTCCAGCTGGATGCTCAGGTACGCCGCGTCCTCCACCACCTTCCCCTTCCCCTTGGCCGCCGGCGCGGGAGCAGGAACAGGGGCGGCCGCGGCTCGGTGGCCGACGACCATGGCGGCGAACCTCTCCATGCGCGCCAAGAAGGCAAGAGCTCGACCGCGTACGCCCTCCCCCTCTCCCTACAATGGCCCGCGACGAGTCGGCTCGAGGATGTCGTTGATGTGCGCGGAGGCGTTCTTGCCTGGTGGGGTGCTGCTGCGCTGCCTGCGTGATGGGGCGGTTCCTTCGATTTTGCCTTTGCTCCGCTCTGATCTCGGTTGAGTTTATAGCGGAGAACGGAGATGTAAAAAGGCAAGCGCTGATCTTGCGTCGTTGCTTTCGCCGCGTTCTGCACGGGACCCGGGACCCGAGTCGGCGAGCTCGGCGTCGGCGTCGCTCGGCGTCTGTAAAAGGCAAGAAACAGAGCGCGTGGGGCCCTTGCGCTGGGAATCGAATCGAGTGGTGGGCTCCTGGGTTTGTGAGGTGGAGTTGGGCTATGTGGGGATTCAGATTGTATCAACCATGTGGAAGTCTTTTTTTTTTTTGAACAGCCGGAGCTTCATCGTGAACATGGTTACAGCCAGTCGGTTTCTATAATCATAAATGCTATACAACACATATATTTTAACACAAAAAAGTATATGGATTTTTTTTATCTCTCTCATCTCTCTTTCTCACCGGTGACCACCGGCGCCGGTGACCGGCGAGCTCGCCCCGGTGGCAGCGGCGGTGGATCTGTGATTTGTCCTTTCATAGAAAAAAAATTATGATCTGTGATCTGTGAAGGCTGGAGGCTGGAGGTAGAAGAATGGTAGAGGCTGTTGGATCTTAATCCTATTGTGAAAAAAGTTTATGCGTTGAAACTACATAAAACACATGGTTGTTTAGTAGAAAGACTCTTCTATAATACCCGTAAACCTGGTGGTGGTGCAAGCCTATAATACCTGGTGGTGGTACAAGCCACTCCTCCACCGGGTGTGTACGGGATACTGACTTTGCTCATTCATGAGCTAATCTATTACAAGATCTACTAGAGAAAATAAAAGAGAAATCATCTAAGCTCCGGTTTAAGTCTTCGATCTGCTGTAGGAGAGGACCATCTTCAGAGTTTTGGTGCCGACGGTGCTCCCACAGGTTAACAATCACCTGGCAATCCGTCTCCAACTGAAAGCCGTTGCACCCTCGTTCTATGGCGAACTGGATTCCATCACGGCAAGCGTTGAGGCATTGATCATACCACCACCCTGCTCTCCCCCCCCCCCCCCCCTCTTCGCCCACCTTCATCTCTAAGAACTAATCCCATAGTATATACGCAGCAACAGGTAATCCCTAATCATCGAGTAGTATTCTCTTATCTAATCATTTAATCAACCGTCCAAATTAGCTAGAATATTCACCTCACACAAATCCTACTTACTTTCTACCATGTTTTTTATTTTCCAAGAAACTAATTGAAAAAGTTGGATCATATGCATTAATAGATATGTAATTTTTTTTGTTAGGATTTGTGAAACATATCCCATTATATATGCCGTTTAGTGGAAGATCAACCATGTGGAAAGTCTAGCACTGCATTTCCGTTTAGTGGCGTAATTATCGATTCAAATTTTTTACAACTACCCATGTCTAAAGAAAATACAACTCTAAATGTTCATATCAAACTATTTTAAATTCAACTAAATTTAAAGAAAATAATGTCAACAATTATAATTATACTATAAATAGATACTTGTAAAAATATATTCTATGATAATTTAATCATTCTTATTGAATATCATAAATATTAGTAGTTTTTAAATTTTGGTTAAAATAAATATAGTTTAACTTAGTATTATAGTTAGAATTGTATTCTTTTTTAAACAAAGATAGTATTAGATCCACATGAGTCAACATAAGAAAATAGTGTGAAGGCAGTGTTGGGATTTGCCGAGCGTGAAAGTGATTCTCACTTCAACAGTCACATTTTCTATGAGCATTGAATGATACGTTCACTTCAAAACAATTTGCAAAGGATTAAACGGTGGTACTATACAAATTTTATGCTTCATTTTTTTGTCATTGCCAGATGATGCACTGGTCCATAAACAATAGCACCGGATCATACAGTGATATTATGTAAATTCTATCAAAACACCCCAGATGTCTGGACGGGACGTCACGTCCGGACGCGGCACTGAGACCTGTGCCGCTCCCGCGTCCGCATCTTGCCCCATGCCCCGCGTCCCGCGTCCCACGTCTCGCCTCAGCACCCGCGCCCGTGTCCGTCGCAGGTAGGGATGAAAACGAAAATGACAATCTCTGATTTTCGAAAATCGTTTTCAAGTTTTTTCCCCGATTTTTAGGCCTAAACAGGAACTGTGGCGGTAATCGGAAAAATGAAAACGATAACGGTAAAAATAATCGGAAACGAAAGCGAAAATGATTTTGCCCTCTTCCTATCATTTTCGAAGATTGCCATATTTAACCGGTAATTTACCGTCGGTAATTATCGATACAACACATAATTTAGGTCCAGTTGGCCCACATCTAAGCATGTCCATCCATCTGCACACGCAAGCACATAAGGTAATTTTTTTTTGAAAGGAACTATACGGCAAGTATTTCATGCGTATAGAAACAAGAAGGCAATTAGCCAACAATCACGTACTGCACCCGTAACTCTAGCCAGTCACCATGTACACGAACGGATTTTGGGGCGGCGAGCGCCCGCATCACTGTTTGAGACCTAAGATGGTGAGAACTGTGTGGTTTCAGCTCGTGTGGTCTTGTCAATTGTGATTTTATTTATTATTGTCATGTGAGATATGTTAAGTTATACGGATCTTCTCATGTATGGTTTGACGTGTTTATCGTTTTTTAGGATATTGTTCTCATGGGTGCCGATCGATGTATTTTCGATCGACTACTATCGTTTTTGAAATTACCGGAATATCGGCGCCGTATTCGTTTCTGACAAATCGATTCCGTTTTGGAGAAATTTTTTGGAAATGAAAGTGTTTGGCCTCCTATTGACCATTTTTGATTATTTTCATCCCTAGTCGCACGGACCCGCGCCCCGCATGGGGAAACCCACGTGAGTTGACCCACGGCTGCGCCCCAGCAGCAACGATAGCCACCAGCCGCGCCATGCAACACTCCGATCTACTTTTGTAACATCCAGATGAAACCTTTGTAACTTACGTCTAAAACAGATGGAACATTTGGAACATACAGGTTGAAACACCATTGCAAACATGTGCAATATCACGATCTACTTTTAAAACATACAGATGCAAAACTTGTAACATACAAAAAAAAACAGATGAAACACTTGAGACATGCGTCTAAAATTGCAACATACGTGTACAAAAATAGATGAAACATTGGGGATACGTGCTTGCAACATAGTGTATAACCATTGCAACATATGCAACATCTCAATCTACTTTTGCAACATCCGCATGAAACAATTGAAACATATATCTGAAACAACCGAAACACTTGAAACATGGGCTTGAAACATGTCTGAAAAAGCGTCCAGAAACACTTGAAACACAGCATCGTCGCGTGACCATGACCTACCTGGTGGGCAACTGCGGTGGCGCAGGCTCGCTGGATGGTGCGCGCCCGTATGCCTCCGCCATGCCCGCCGTCGGCCGAGGGTGAGGAGACACTGTCGGATCTGGGGAGGGCGCCGCCGGCCGGGGTAGAGGAGGGTCAGCAGCTTGCTTGACCCGCCCACCGCGTGCCAACGGCTTGCTCAAGCCCGCCCGCCAGATCCAATGGGACTCGGGGGACGGTCACGGGACCTCCATGGCATTTTCCCTCAAGTAGGGGGAGGGGACGCCATGGAGGTCGCCGGACTTGAGGGAAAATGCACGTGGAGGAGGGGTACCGCTAGATCCATGGAGGGGAGGCTATGGCGCACTCGAGGGAACGCCATGGCGCTTGCAACTGTGATTTTTTGTGAAGAATGGAGACAGCAGGGTCCATTCCAGAGCAGGCTAGAGGCTACGACTAAACGGGGTGTGGTGCGGGCAGGATTCGTTACAGAGCGGTGCGACTCGGGCGGGGTCCGTTCGGACGGACAGACAACCGAATAAGCATTACCGAAATTCTATGCACCATTTGCTAGACATTACCGGTTCAAAAGAGTGAGAACCAGACCATACATTATACAGTTTCAGCGCACTGTCTCAGTATTTTAGCCATATATATCATATCTTCGAAGTCTGTTGTTGCTGATCAGATTGAAGCAAACTCCAAATAATACGAACAGGGGTCAAGATTGACCAGTGAGACGATGAGGGATAAGTTTTATCATTGAGATGGAAACAACCTGGATCATCACTAGCTAATGCCGCAAAATAACTGCTCAGTGATAAAGAAGGTGTAAAGACGGCCAAGAGTTGTCTAGAAGCAGTCATCCTTTAAAGAGTTCACAATAGCTCAGTGATCAGAGTGCTCTTGTGTTAACCATGGACGGAGCTAAACAATCTATTGATGTTCTTATACTTTCTAGAAAGGTTGTGAAATGTTGTATAAATTCTAAAAAAACTAGAAGCATACCCCGCGCGTTGCCGCGAAATTTTCTTAAAAGTAAATATGATATATACATAGCATTATTATATGGTATTCTGTATACTGTGTATATATAAGAATTTGACTCGCGTGTTATTTTGTTTGTATCAGATCTGGTAAAAAATCGGTAAGCTAATAGAAGAAAAATCAATAGAATATTTGATTACATTATAGAGGATTAGGTGATGAAACAAATAGCATATGTAGATGACTTGTATGTTAATAGATTAAAGATTAAAAGTATTGCATGTGATAGAGATAATGTAGATATTTTTTGTAATTAATAAGGGATGACATGAACTTAGTGGATAATAATGTGGACATCTTGCATGAAGAGGTAGAACATCAAGTGGAGTCATTTAGTGGAAAATGATGTGGACACCTTATATGAAGAGAAAAATTATTTAGTGAGGTTTAACTTTATAAGAGTATATATGCACTACACCAGGTCGGTTGAAATCCCTACCAGACCATCGTTGAAAATCTTGATGCTTCAATATTTTATCTGTATCTTTTATCGTGACTTTGATTT